AAACCCACCAGCTACAATTCCAACTTTTGCCAAAGTGATGAACTAAACACTCTCAAAGCTCTAGCTGTGTTCTAGTTCTACCGGGTACAGATTTTTTTTTCTATTTTTTGGTCTACCTATATTAGGTACCAAACGACAATAAATGTACCAATGATCTGAATATTCAAAGCGACCTAACTTATTATATTGGTGACCTTAGAGATCTGCAAAATTGTGGGTTTTGGACTTTTAGGCCTCTCTGCCTGAAATGATTAGGAAGCGGAGCCAGGTTGTGGGCGTTTCATGGTTTACTTGTGGTTCAGATACAACTAGAGGTCATTATCCTTTAACAATATTAATGTAGTCATTAGCAACTCCTCAGCAGGTTGGCATCAGTGGGAGTCCACTCCTGACCGGCTGACCCTCTGATGCTAGCTGCTTCAGGCGCCTCTTCAACGTTCAAGCTTCTCATTGGATTCTACAAAAAGGGAAGCTCACTGTTAGACAAAGCTTAAGTTGGAGGCCACCAAACACTCGCCATACCAATGAAATGTCAAAGAAATGGCGCTAGAGAGCTAGAGTGTGGCCGGTGTTTCAAAATGGTAGGCCTACTATCGAAGATAAAATTTAAGTGGTACTTCAGAGTCATGAGAATCCAACGTCAAGCCAAAGCTAGCTAGCTCCTTCAACGTCCGCAAGTAATTGCTGTATGTAGCTGGGTCGACCACCAAGCACCCGGGGCATCTTTCCATGTGCCAAAAGTCATTGGTTTTTTCATTTTTTTGTTTTTTTTCAAATCATGCCGCTTTCATATGGCTTGTTGTTCTAAAATAAAAGAGTTAGCAGTCACTGCGATCAGCAACATGATGTATTAAACTTGTAAAGTGATATGTACCTAATTTAAATGTTTCATATGCATAATTTTAGACGCACCAATAATTGTATGTTGCACTTCTTGGGGTAATAATTGGTTGACTGGACAAAACCTTTTTTAAAGTGCAGAGAGGTCTCCTCCTTGCGAGAATATTAGGCCACATTGATCTGTATATCTAGCAAATCATTAATCGAATCGCGACTGGTTTATCGCGTATGCTTGAAGGTGAGACAATTGAGTCATGTCTCCTATTTCCCATTGAGATTTTGATGGCATATCAATCTTATCCGGGGCCGCTGCATTACCCATGCTACTACCAAAGATTTGTTTGGAAGTGGTTATGCAGCACTGGTTCAATGGATGCAGACCTTTTAAGTTTAATCCATTTTTTTCATAAATCACACTTGACAATTACATTTTTGTTTAGAGTTATTTGTAATCGACCTAACTTTTTTGTCATGAAATGAACTAATAGAACAAAGTCAGGAAGTTAATATAGAATATATGCCCCTGCAGAGCCACAGGACATGAGGAGATTTCAAGTGCCGCAAATTATGCAAAGGAAGACATAACTTCTACCAACAGAAAATCTTATTGGATTTCAAAGCAGAAATATGGAATAAAAATCAGTACTAAAGCTGAAGCAAATCCCGACTGACATGGCAACTTAAGGGTAAATGCAGGACATGCGCAAGCTTATAGATTCCTCTTAAGTTTTACTGAATCAATTCAAGGCATATTTCAAGGTATTGATGGATAAAGGGGAGCCATACCACAAATTAAGGTGACAGCAAACAGTTGAAATGCTGTCATTCCGTGAAGTGCAGAATTTCTTTCCTGACATGATCATGCTTGAAAAACCTCATCTCCAAATGCTGTGTAAACTGTAGTATGATGCATGACTGCATAGCACAGTCGGTCCAAAATCCTAACTCAGCAATAATGCCCTTTGTTTGACTCAGAAAAGCACAACAAACAGATATAATCTGATGGATTGCTATCAGGCCGCCGCTGCATTTATAACCAAATGGAAAAATTACTACTTATCACTGTATAGCCACCATATATACGTATATATTCGCAAAACTCAAGCAAATGAAATGATTTTCCATTGAATTTACAGATTAATCTACTTCTGCTCTCATCAGGAGTACTTGAGCTTCAGTAATGAAGATTATCATCCACCGATGTCAATGCAAATTAATGCTTACAAACTAGAATTTTCTTTTAGGAACCAAAACTTGCGCACCGCATCTACAACGTGAAGAGTTCAGCATGAGGACGACTTCATGCGCGTTAGACACCGCAATGATCGTTCAGTCGATTTTTAATATAGTAAACCTACAGTAAAGAGTGAACCTCTCCAATTTTAAGAACACGCCATATGCTTAACATAGTTTTATGTTAAATTACTTAAGAATGAAAAACCAATTATACCTTAAAAAATTTCTATCTATATTTTACTGTGGCTATATTTGGAATGGGTGTCCGGTGCGATCCCGCCTACTGTGATCGGCTACCAAACCTTTTTGTTTTAATGGTTGATTGCCACTTTCTTTTTTCGTTTTTGCCCTTCCTAAGCCAAAAATGTATCTTAAACTTATTTTTTTCTTTTGTTTTTTTTTTTTATTATTATATAATAAATTGCTAAATAAAATTTATTATTATATAATAAACTAATAAATAAATAAATAATATTTTATTATTATTAATTTTTAATATTTATTTATTTGACTTAAAAAATAATTTAATAAATTTTAATTATTTATTAATTTTATTAATGTTAGATCATTTAAAATTTGTCGCATACAATTTTAACTCTAATACTCTTAATAGTTATATTTTTCACTATAATTTATCTTAACGGCATCTTTATTTTTGCTATCAAACACATTTTATCATTAATTTTAATTTTAATTTTATTTTTATTTTTAATCTTTTGAATAATGACAGAATCACCTTTAGTGAGAGTTATTGAATACTCTAAAAAAATAAAAAATTTTAAAGAAATTTTTTTCTGAACACTCTAAAATCAATAAATCTATATATATATTACAAATAATAACTTAAAAAAAAATAAATCCGTCATTGTTTAATAGAATCAATTTAATTGTAAATTCAAATGAATATAAAATTATTCAAAAATGTTCAAATCTATCCTTGTAGACAAAACACAAAATTATGGATGCTTTAATGGTAAAAGCGACATAAATGCACGCCGAAGGGAAAGAGAAAAATTATAGGTAAGGATTTTTTTTATCTGTCTCGGAGACATTGAATGATATCCATGACTGAATGTTGGACTGCTTTTGTTAATCGTCATGGGAAATGCTTCTTTAAATGGTGGCTCCAAGGTTGTAATTTGGAATTTCCAACCACAATATCATATGACCTTTAAGCCAAGAGATGAATTAACTGTAACAAAATTTTTAATCAAGTACAGTGTGGCGATCATTTGGTAATTGTCTGTTGTCAGACCAAACAAAAATAATTGTTGTCTGTCCGAATAAGAACTATTATTAATAGCCCTACTTTAACATAAAGTAATAGCTTTTAAATGTGGCCTCAAAGTTTTCCAATAACATGCTCCACGTATTAAAGGCTCGCTTTTTTTTTTTTCTTTTCATTAACTAATGAAACAAATTTGATTCTTTTTGTAGAATTAATAAAATCATTTAATTAATTTGTGTTTTTTAAATGAAGATAAAAAAATTATAGATATCAAAAGTTTAATATAAAATATATTTCAATATCATATTTTAAAAATAATCATATAATGCAAGGTGATGTATTATACATCGTTTTTTAGTCTGGTTATCTAATGTAATTAATAATAATAATACCTCGAGCCCTCAACTTTATGACCAACAAGCTGATCAAAACTTGTTGTATAGGGTGTTGATTTAAGTGTCTTTTGTACTTGTAGTCTTCATAGGTGAGAACTATACTATATCTTTATATGAATAAAGCTATCTTTAATAATTCTTGTTAAGTTCATGTATATGAGTTCAACAACCTTCTTATTCCTCTTACTAAGGGTTGAAATCAGCAAAATTACTGGCTTCACATGCTTTCGTTACCATACCATTTCAATATCAATATTGTACCATGCAATGTTCTACTATTAAAATTCAAAGTTTTTTTTTTTTATAATTAATTTATATAATTATTTTTAAAAATATAATATTTAATAAATTTAATATTCAAATTTTAACACTTAAATTTTTTTTTAATCTTAAATTATAATATCTTTAATATATAAATATATTGTACCACGCACAGCTAAATATGGCCAGTGTTGTTGCGATTGCTCCTGCTAACATCTCTTCCCACGAAATTGTTGAATCCATTGCTCTCACATGTGTATCATTTTGGTATCAATATTTTTGGGAGAGAAGTATCATTTATTTTTACATCAATCGAGAAAGACTTTGTCAAGTCAATCTCAGTTTTTGTTGGAGAAGAGGGATTTCGTACACAACTCTATAAATTGAAAACCATGCATTAGTTGTGGAATCAAATCATCACTCTTTTTATCATCGCCAAAGTCTTTTTTTTTTTTTTTTGTTTGTATAGAATAACTACGGTTACTATACAATGCATGTATCTTCTTTTCAAAACATTAAATTCAAATCTTCTTTTTTCATAAATTATCAAAGAAAAAAACTATGGCCGCTGCTAATATTTGTGTGGGCACCGCATGTTTCACATATTTATTGAATTTACTTTTGTTTACAAAATAAATACATAATGGATTGTGAATTTGGATCTTGTCTTAAATGATTTATTTATGTTTTTAGCTATGAATTTTTACAAAATTGAAATTCTACTATCAATATTAGTAAATTGTTTGATTTTTTTTTAATTTTGATATCTTTTATTAAAAAAAAATGACCTTTGAATTCCTGCATAGAAACAAAACCTTTTGGCACAACAGTTGGGACTTAGGGTTCTGGATAATACATCATGTGTTGACCCTTAGTTACTACACTACTGGAGAACTGGATAATAAAGTCAGTGAGATTATTTAGGAGTATGACGCAATGCAGAAATTCACTGCTTGCACAGTGAAATTGTAAAAGTCCTCTCAATGAAAAATAGTGCTTCGAACACCTAAAACTAAAGGGGTAGAGTAGAGAGGGTTGCATTGGAGAGAAAAAAAAAAAAATGAAAGGCAAATTAATATTTTAGTCCCAACACTAATTTCAATAATCCTCGTCTCCTTCCCATGAGAGGGATTTTCCCATAAAACCAAAAGGCCCTGACCTCAAAGCCAAAGTCTCTGTCGCTCTCTCTCTCTCTCTCTCTCTCTCTCTCATGTCATGTCATGCAAATAGCACCTAAGCTTTTAACCCCGCTCACTCCCTTTCACCCCATGACATTTGTTTCTCTTCGCCAGCTCATTCACAGCCCCAAAAAACACACTCCAACCCCAATCCCTCTCTCTCTCTCTCTCTCTCTCATATAACGTATTCTCCACCAGATCTCCGGGAGTACCCTCCATTAAGATGCGTGCTTTTTCAATCCTCTCGTTGGTTTAGACCTCTTATAAAATCTCCTCAGGCAACAACCACCTCTTTTCAACATTACCCATATGCTCCTTTTTATTTTTTTTTCTTGTTGATTCGACTTTTTTTCTTCCTCGGGGTTTCTGGGTTCTCTTGTTTTGAGGAAACCTATTAAGGCAGAGGGAGAGAGAGAGAGAGAGAGTGTTGTGTGTGTGAGAGTCTGGGGGTTTTTGCTAGAGAGAGAAAATGGAGAATGGGTTAGACAGAGAAAGTGGGTCGATGATGTTTAGCGAAGAGGAGTTGAGAGAGGTAACTGGATTGAAAAAAGGAGGAGACTTTATAGAAGTGACATGTGGGTGTACCAGCCATCGGTATGGTGATGCTGTTGGCAAGCTTAGGGTTTTCTCTAATGGTGACCTTGAAATCACCTGTGAATGCACCCCTGGTTGCAATGAAGGTCTCTCTCTCTCTCTCTCTCTCTTTGTAGCCTTTTTTCATACTTTCTTTCTCTCTTTCTTTCTTTCTCCATCCTTTTATTTTCCTTTGATTGTGTTGGGAAAATGGGTTTTGAATTTTGTGCATGTTTAATGTTATTCAAGTTATGGGCGCATTTGACGTTGATGGTGTAGCTTTCTTTTATTTAATCGAGTTTTTGATAGAGTGAGAAGTGGATGATGGGGAAGCTTGAGTCCTTTCGTTTTGGTTTCTTTTTCACACAGTTTATGTGTATGTTGTTTTGTCTCAGTGACTTGGCTTTCCATGGCTGTAACACAACATGATGTTCACACATTTTTTTGGGACACTCCATCAGTGACTTTGTTGGTTAAAAGATCTTATCTCTGAGTTTGTATCTTCAGAATCACAACCTGCATTGTCTTTTATTGCTGTGATTCTAAGGTCTTCGATTCAGTCTTTTTCAAAATATGGCTTTTCAAAGTTCTGTTTCTTGTCGCTAGACAGAGTAAAATTGTTTGAAGAAACATATTTAGCCTTATGGGATCTGCCTATGTTTTAGTTCTTCCTGTTCTGGTGGCATGTCATTGTAAAGTTGGGCTGGTGAGGGGTGCTTTTGAGCATATTCGTGCTTGGTGTCACAAGGACAGCTATGTTTCCAGGGTTTGAACGTCTTTATGCGTTCTTTTTGTGTGCATGTGTTTTTCTTACATAATGCTACCATGTGAAAGTAGTACGAATATGGCTTGGAGGTTCAAACAGTGCTTCTACTTGCTGGTATTCTATTACTTTTAGTACATACCTCCAAAGTATCGCGACAATTTTTTTTTCATTGAAAAAGTGTTATCGAGGAAATCAAGTTTGGCAAAATGAAGGCTTTAAACATTTATCAACTATCGTAGTTTGATCAATGATTAATGTTACAAATATTTCTCATCCAAAGGATGTTTAGTTAGGAGTAGATTACATACCTATATATTGTCTTCATGTGAAGGATCTTAGGCCTATAAGGAGGCTGTGTTTTGTTCATAAGAAAGAAAAAAATACCCATGTCATATGAAAAGAAAAAATGGTCATACACTTCAAACCTTGAAGTTAAACCTTCATCTTGTGGATCCATCCCAACTATGATTCTAAAATCAGGTGTATCTTTTCCTATTACCGTTGGTCATTATGGTGCTTGTTAAAAGACTGCGATGAGTTTGGTGGCGGGACTATACAGTCAGGGTCCTTCCAACTAAAAATAACTAATACTGCTTAAGCTGTCTGTACTGTTATCTCTGCCTTTGCTGTTTAGTAGAGTCTTCCAATGTCAGGTGCATATGATATCATCTTTTCCCCATATTCTGATCGTCCTAGTTCCTTTTCATTTTCCTAATAAATGTTGAAGCCTTATTTTTATTCCTTTTTCCTTTTCTAACTGTGTGAATGTTAATTTCAATGACCAGACAAGTTGACTCCTTCTGCGTTTGAGAAGCATTCTGGAAGAGAGACAGCTAGAAAGTGGAAAAATAATGTTTGGGTGATAGTTAATGGGGAGAAGGTTTCATTATCAAAGACTGCATTGCTGAAATACTACAACCAAGCATCTAAAAATGCCAATGGTACTCATAGATCCCATAACGGAAGAGTTTGTCATCGTGATGAGTTTGTTCGCTGTAGCATGTGTAACAAGGAGAGAAGATTTCGATTGCGGACGAAAGATGAATGTCGTATTCACCATGATGCTTTAGCAGATGTGAACTGGAAATGTTGTGATCTTCCATATGACAGGTTTCTCTCCCCCATTACTTATAATGTTCTTATTTGATAAATAGGGTTTGTCAAGTCCAAGCCTGTTGCCTCTTACATATTAAGGTATTAGTCACTCTAGAACATGCATCTTGACTTAATTCTTTTTTTTTTTCCTGTAAAATATCCAGTTTTTAACAATTAAAATGTAATTTGTAGATAATGCGTGTGGTAACAAAACACTTCATCTCCAATTTGATATATAGTGAAGCTCAACTTTTCTAATTCCCAAATATTTGTCCATGATCTGTTTTCATTACTTCTCTAAGAAGAAACCATTTCATGGGCTGTAGGTCCATATTTGGCTACAGGAGGAAACTAATGATCAATTCATTCCTTACATGTTAGCTTCTTTTTAACTTTGCTTTGCTTAACTTATTATTTGTGTTTCTGTATCATTTTGGCCTTTTAATATGGAGTTGTTTTTTGTGCTTCATTTGCATTTATTTGAGTTAAAATGGATAGCATCTTTTACAGCTCATAAACACCTATGTGGTCACAGCTTCTGAAAATTATCAATATTCTTTTCTAATGTAATAAGCATCAATATTCCACATGATTTTCACTTAAAGTCTTTTGACTGAATGTGAATGTTGAGAAACATGACAAGTAATTTTAGGTGAAGAACCTATTACTGCACATGAATTATGGTGTTGGTCCAACTGCAGTTCCTGACTATTCACTTTTCAGGCAATTTGACAACTATGCTTCGTTTAATCCCCTGGGTTTGTGTAAAGCTGGATGCTATAATGAGAAGCATCAAATCTTACTGTTTCATCTATTGGAACAAATTAATGGCATTCTTATTTGCTCGTATTAGAACCACCTAATATTGAGGTTACAAGAAATGAATTTGACTTGGTTGTCCTTCAGATCGGGGAAAAATTTGTGCTCAAGAACTTTACTGTTAGGCTTATAACTTCTGCATATGAAATGGTGACAGGTTATTTTTCAAAGTTCATAAAAGTTGGATTGTGAGATAGATAGGTCTTTCTCAAGGAAGGGTTCTAGATATCCTATTTGACATATTCAAGCAGAACCATTCTTTTCCTGGTTTCCGACATTTGTTTCATTTGTTGTATCTTAGGAAAGCTGCCTGCTATTCTCACTTGGGTAGCTTGCATAAATTTTTAAATAGAAGCCATCGGTCTATAAGAACTATTTATGTTTTCCTTACATGCTGTTAAGTCCTACCATTCTTGCTTTCATGTCTGTTTGGTTGTTGGTGTTTTCCTCAACTTATGCATTAACTTTCAACAAACTTTGTGTGCTGGAAATGCTTAAAGTTGCCAAGTTCATATAATAAAAATTATAATATTCCTGAACATGCAGTTTTTGCTATAAATTGGCTGACGAAGCTGAAACTTTCTGGTTCTTTTTTGAGTTGTGTTCTTGAATACCACCATTTTTTATTTTTAGAATTTAGTGGGAAGGAGGTGCAGAGTTCTGACAATTTTGACAGTTATCCATCAGAATTGTAGGATTGCTATTGTTAGTAATGGTATGAAAGCAAATGCTGAGAGAGAATGTTCTTCATATTGTTAGGATTTTGATATGAACATGTTAAAGGTTTTGCATAGAAGTTTAAGTCTTGACTAATTTTTTTCAAGTGGTTATAATTGATGCTATGCAGAATTTGCTTGCTTGCATGCAAATGTAGAACACTCGCATCATCTGCTGTGTTATGGCAAGTTGGCAAATTTCTCTGTAGCTCATAATTAACTTGTGTTCTATATTTCAGAATAACATGTGATGATGATGAAGAGCGAGCAAGTCGCAGGGTATACAGGGGCTGCACCCGATCTCCAACATGCAAGGGTTGTACTTCCTGTGTGTGCTTTGGGTGTGAAATCTGTCGATTCACTGATTGCAGTTGCCAAACTTGCATTGACTTCACTAGGAATGCCAAAGCTTGAGTCTTCCACTGCAGTCCTAGGGTGGGTTCTTTATTTGTTTCTTTAGTTGAGCCATCCCAACAGAAGAAGCCTTCAAAGACATTTTATTTATTTCATGTTAGACTTTTAAATTGCCAGCCCGAGTTCAGCATTCATGGAGCTCATTGACTGGTTTAAAAACTTAAAATTAATTAAATTTGATTTCCACATTGATGTTTGGTCCATACTTCATATTAACATTTTCTGCTCTACTATTTTTTCTCATTTATATACTCTTAAAATTTGTTTATTCATTGATATAATCGACAGATTCCATTTTTCTCAATCTCAACGCCAGACTATAACCAGACTTTCAGAGTTTTATCTATATATATATATATATATATAAACCAACAACAACAAACAAACACACTGAGGAAGAGCAGCAATGTATATTGTATGGGTTCTTCCATGCCAGCAGTTGAGATTGGGCTCCTGTCCAACAGCTGCGGCTGCACCCACCTAGAAGGTAGACGCTATTATGTACAAGATTAGCAGCGCGTGTCGGGGTTTACTAAGGTCCAATCAATAGAGTAGGCCCAGTAGGCCTCCTGTGAATTAGGGAAGTGTAGTTGGCAATTGGCACAGATATTGCAGGGGTTGGCAAAGGAATAGGCCGCTGTTGATAATTCTGTGAAAGCATTGCCTACCTTCCGCAGAAAACCGGTTCGGAAAAATAGCATTATGTGGCTGCTGGCCAGGCATCCAATTATTCAAAACTCCATTTGAAGGTATATAAAACCAGAAGATTGTGGCATTGAAAATGGGGGAATGGAACAAAGCCAGATCCACCAACTAAATTTTGTTCTACGACAGAAGATGAACAACTATGATTATCCAAAGATGCCGAAACTAGGGAGAAATTATGTTGGTTCTGAGTCGGTGGAAGCTGACCTACTGCTGTTGATGTTTGCTGGTGTGAGTTCCTATAATTTTTCCAAGCCCCATTTCTACTTTTAACTTTTTTTTTATTGCCTTTCAGGTTTCCCACGCTCTGGTCATTCATGCCTCTCTTTGGCATTTTTTTACATCCTCTATGTAGTCAACCTTTTTTTTCTGAAAACTCAGCATCTGACATCTACTCATCATTCTCACCAGAAGCATCATAACCTTTCTTGTGAAGATTCTTGTCATTCAGAACATGATTAGCAAATTCTGGGACAAAAGAGATCGACGTGCCTTCATGGATCTCGTTAGGGGCTTCACTCGCCGAATTATATCGTACACATTAGTAGGGGTTTTTTTTACAGGTTCAAATATTTAAATCACTACTCCCAGTGGTGATTTGTCGATGGTTATCCAAAGAACATAACCTTCATTTAGAGGGTTATGCTGCTTTCTTCGACAATAAATTTGGTACCAATCATCTATAAAAGCGTCAGTAACATCACTAGACTGACCTAGCTAGTATTACTTACAACTTTAAGTCAATATATAGCTGATAAAATATCACCGAGTTCATCTAAAAACCAATCAACAAGCTCTGAAAACAATGGTTTGAGTGTTTAACAAGATTTGAGCAAAAATTGAAGGCTTGGCCTTTGTATTTTACAATGCCGGTTCAGACTTGAGCTTACCAACAAAAAAACCTCCAACAGGCACGGTGATGGAGTTGCAGCTGTAACATCCAGCGGTGGAAGTGGAAGGTCCACCTGCCACACCTGCCAAATTTAACAATGTTTATTTAGAACTACTATTCAACGACAATAACTCCAGCATTATACCATCCCAATAATTTAACTTCAGCGATAATTATTTCAGTCATGTTGCTCGAAACTGCAGAGCATGTACGAGAAGTCTAGATTTATAATTGCAAAGAGTTGCCAAGTGCCAGCCTTGATCAATTTTGGCGTGATATGACATGGTTTCATTATGTTGAACTTAATCTGCTTTCTTAGCAGTGCAAAAAACAATAACTTTCAGCCAAAGCATGCCAAAAGATCTTTGAACAAGGAAAAGAGTTCAATCAGAAAAAAAAAAAAGAAGAATAAATAAAAGGAAATGGTCAGGAAAGAAAATCAGGCTACTCCAATAAACAACAGCAACAAACGCATTGTTTGCAGCTAACAAACAGGGGAGAAAATGCAGTCAGCAAAACACATTCAACAAAAGAAGACTAAATTAAACTAAAAGCAGAGAATATCTAGGTTGACACGTTAGTGAGATGCAAAACCATTACTAATTGGTTTTAAATTGAATGTATATCTAAAAATTTAAAATGGTTATCAGAGTAGACATTATTTTAGTTCATTGTCTTCTTTGAAATAGGTTTGTTTTGCATACGATACAAGTTCACGCTGCACAATAGACTCATCATCTTTGTCACATTTGATTCATCATCCTTGCATGTAACGTTCGTACGACGTGATAGGTTCATTATTCTTACTAGTGAGGAAAAATGTTAAAGTAGTGATAATATTAAAATAGTGATGAAATAAATTTCATGTAAGTTAAATTTGAAACATATTGAATACATAAATATAACATCAATTCACATTTTGTTAATTGATTTTGGACTGAATATTTATTTAAAACATACATGGTAGTGGAGTAGGCTCCCCTTATTCATTTCCCTTCTATGATAGATTTGTTATATCTACCGTACGAAGTTTTTGACACACGATAGGTTCATCATCCATACGTATATAATCGAGTTACATATATCTTGTCCCTACACGTGAACAAAAATATTAAAGTGATGATCAAAAAGATCTCACATCAATTAAATTAAGAGAATTTTGTATGTAAATATTATAAAATTTATTTCAATACACTCAACACTGTCTACGTTGGAGGAGGCAAACATCTAAAAGCCTGAACTCTAAACCACACTAGAAACTATCCTTCAATTCAAAATTTAGCAAACTTTCTCACCGCCACTGCCGAGTGCCGACCTTATTTATCACCAAGCGATGACAGCTAGCATCTTTATGTGCCAGCTGACTTTCCCCAGTTGATGATAGCCGACCAGAATGAATGTGTAGTAATTAAAAAGTGTGGCAGCAATGCATGGAACGCTGTCGGGCGGACGCGGATTTTCATAGGGAAAAAGCACGGAGATATCACAATTAGTTTGAAAAGTCAAAGAGTTTGTAAAAGGATAAACAGTTATTGCCCTTCGTTTCTTGAAGTCAACTCTTCTCGATCAGTCAACAACTATGGTATTTCTATTCAACTCGTCACTCGTCAGTCATCATACATCTCAGCATACATCTCAGCATGGCCCAACACTCTTCACCTGCATTTGCATTTAACTGATATATGGAGTTGACATCTATCCTATTCCCATTCCCAAGAAAAAAACAACAGAAGCTGACCTGTCTCATTGGTCAACTTATAAAGGGAATGGATGAGTATGTACTTTAGCAGAAGATCGCATAGGATAAGATAGGGATCGTAACTTCATAAGCTGTTTTTTAATTTTGTTTCTTTTTTAGAGGTTGGTAAACTTGAATTAAGTAATGAGCTAAGCCATTGACTGGCTGTAGCAGTGTAGCCCTTTGCCTTGGAACATGCAGAAAACATAAATTGATTATAAACTTTAAAACAGCTTGGGTTACCAATTCCAAGATCTAGCTTCCATACGACTTGCAAATTAGAGTCACTTTCCAACAGCAGAAAGTGTTAGCCAAGATCATGAACAAAAGAACTGCCGCTGGCTCCACATGTTCAAAAGCCGACCTATTATGATAAGTGATCAGCTGGCAATGGGGTCCATAGCACCCAAAATTCAAATGGTCCCGAACCACCCCTGCCCTTTCTTGTGCGGAGATGCTTTCAACATTCTTCTGTAGCTTTATTAATATATGATGTCTATATAGATGTATTAATGAGTTTAGATCTACTTGACTCATATTTCAACATAATGAATTATGACATGCAATAAAATCAACTATAAATGAAGCCTAAATTCAAATGTTTTCATATTGTCATTTTGGAGATTGTTAGGGGCAACTGAGTCCACCATTGCCCTTAAGCTTTCGTCTTAATAGGAAACCAGGTCATTACATTTTTTCAACTTAAAACCGAAAACTTATTACTACAAGTTGCATCATTCGATGGTCCCACACTATCTCAAACAATGGAAATGACTGATGACCCTAGCCAAAAGATGATAAACCATATTTCATTGTGTTAATGGTGGCTAAAAATGGACGTAATGATAAAATCAGGTCTAATATTTTTTAAATATTACAAATAAGTACTAATGTCACGATATTTATTTATAAAATTTGATTAAAAAAAGAAATAATAACATATTTTTTACAATAAAATAAAATTTTCTGGGTTACATAAAATTAGTTATATTTTAAATAATTTAATTTAAGAGTAAATGATTGTCTATTTTGTCTTTAATTATTTTTGTATAATTGGCATGTTTTAATATTATACATAATTTTTAGAGTAAAATTATAAAATATGTATCAAACAATTAATTCAATAATTGATATATAAATTTTCTATTCAAATAATAAAGTTTGCATATTTTATTTTTCAAACAAAAAATAAAATTACAAAATGTATTTTAAAGGAAAAAAAATAGATTTAGCAATCTAAAACATAATAAGATTACACAATATTAATATGATATGAAAATAAATACAAAAATGACATGATTTAAAAATTTAATAATAATTATATATGTGTTTAATAAAACAAAAAATATATATTTTATATTTTTATATTGACAAAAATTATAATACATAATTTTCATATAAAATATGTTATAAAAATATAAATTTTAATGTTTTATATTATAAAAATATATGAATTATCATAATTAAAAAATAACAATATATTCAAATATTAATATAATAAAGTTAACAGTATCGATTGAGATAAAAATGATCATGAAAAAAAAAGAGATTATTTTGCTTTAATTCCAAACTAAAAAAAAAAACAATAGTACGATATTTTGAGAATAATGGTATCCAAAAGATTTTTTTTTTTCAAAAAATTTAGAATAGATAATTTACTCAGTTCTTCAGGTCAGAATAAGATGTGTCATCTTTGATAGCTTAAGACATGTAACTGTAAATCGTGCATTCGAAATGACTTCAACAAGTGATCACTAACAGAACTCAAACCTAAAATTTTTTAGTCAAAGAAAATGAATCTTAACCTATTGAACCCATCTTACCTAGGGTTGACAACAGGTCGGGTCGAAGCGGATTTTTGCTTTGTCGAACTCGACCCGACTTCATATCCACCAAACTCGACTTCGACTCGATTCGAATTTTTTTTAATTTTTTTCATATCTAAACTCGAC